CGGTCGGTCGGTCGGTCGGTCAGTCGGTCGGTCCGTCGGTCGGTCCGTCGGTCGGTCCGTCGGTCGGTCCGTCGGTCGGTCCGTCGGTCGGTCCGTCGGTCCGTCCGTCGGTCCGTCCGTCGGTCCGTCCGTCAGTCAGTCAGTCAGTCAGCCAGTCACTCAGTCACTCAGTCACTCAGTCAGTCACTCAGTCACTCAGTCAGTAAGTCAGTCAGTCACTCAATCAATCAGTCACTCACTCACTCACTCACTCACTCACTCACTCACTCACTCACTCACTCACTCACTCACTCACTCACTCACTCACTCACTCAATCAATCAATCAATCAATCAATCAATCAGTCACTCACTCACTCAATTAGTCACTCACTCACTCACTCACTCACTCACTCACTCACTCACTCACTCACTCAATTAGTCACTCACTCACTCACTCACTCACTCACTCACTCACTCACTCAAGTCACTCACTCACTCACTCACTCACTCAAGTCACTCAATCACTCGATCAATCACTCACTCACTCAAGTCACTCACCCAATCAATCAATCAATCAATCAATCAATCAATCAATCAATCCAATCCAATCCATCCATCCATTCATCCATCCATCCATCCATCCATCCTTCCATCCATCCATCCATCCATCCATCCATCAAAAAAAAGGAAAAGTAAAAAAAACGAGAAAAGCGGGCAGTTTTTCTCACACACACACACGCACACAGAGGGCAGTTTTTTTACTTTTTTTTTCACTTTTTTTTTTTCCACGTGTATTCTGCCACGTGTCCGAGGCCCATTGGGCCTGACCCGTTGATCGGATTTCAATGGGAAGCCCCCGTTGTACCGTTCAACGGGGATTCAACTCGAACCCCAGGGGTGTACAACGGGTACAACGGAGTTGTACAAAACTCGTTGCGAGTTGAATGGATATATAGCCCCCCGGGATACGCCGGTCATTGATATTAGCACTTTCCCCGAGCCAGACGGTCCATCAGACCGACGTTGATCACATGGTGGAGCTGGCCACCATCCGGCTGGAGACCATCGAGGGGGCGTCACGTCCTCATCCGGCATGGGAGGCGTTCTTACAGCCTCCATTCGACGGGTGTATAGCGGCGAGGTTGGTGGGCACGCTCATCTACGAGACCAGCGGGTGGCCCAATATTATGTACCATATCCTGGTCTTCGCAGCAGTTAAGCGGGGAGGCCATATACGGAGACCCATCTGGTGCTGACGGGTCCAAGAAATCGGCCGCTGCGACGACGGATTATTCGGGCGATCGTCGATCTCGCGCCACGTGTTCTCTCGCACGTGCCGGGGGCGTTTTTGTACCCCTACTTTGTACAGCACCACTTCAACGAAGTGGAGGCGCCAGCTAACTTGGCTGCGCTCGAAGCCTTTCTCCCTCCCCTTCCCCCCCCTCTTAATCCTGAAATTGAGCACTTTCTTTGATCGTCCCCATCCTCAATCCCTTTCCCTTTCTTTCTCTTTCTTTCGCATCTTTTTCTCCTGGATCCATAGTTCGCACGAGGATACGCGTCGTACAAAAAAAAAAAAAAAAAAAAAAAAAAAAAAAAAAAAAAAAAGGGGGGGGGGGGGGGGACTGTTGCTGCAATGAGTTACTCACCGATCGGGCCAGCTGGCGATGAAGGGGCCGCCCGATCGATGTATCATATGAAGGGAGTCGACAGATGATGCGGAATGCATCCAAGTAGATTAGGAGATGATCGGGCCAGCTGACGATAAAGAGGCCGCCCGATCATCAATCAAATCTGATCACCAGTCAGGAGACTGCTAGTTTTTCGGAGCCCCCTGCGCGTCACAGATGTGATGAGCCCAGATCCGTACTTCGCGGCTTTCCGTACCCTTGAGGAGAAAACCCTCCGAAAGCCCCGAAGTGCGAATACGAACAACGGGGGTTTTCTTTTTGCTTTCGTTTTTGTTTCTCGCTTTTCTTTTTCTTTGAACTGGTAGCTGGGATCCGAATAAGTTTCGCGCGGCCGAATAGTGGGCGCGTCGAATTTCAAGAAACAGTTAGGACTTAGTGGGGAAGGAAATGGGGAATTTCGGATTTTTGCATGCGCGGCTGCTTTTTTGAATTTTCGAGCGCTACGCAAACTCTTTCTCTTGCTTCGCATCCCCGCGCCATCTTCCTTTCTTGCTGCGCGCGCTTTCGCCGTGCATGGACCCTTCGTCTTCCTTTATGCAAGCCCGATCCCCGCCTCGCCTTTGACGGAGAACGATTGGCTGAGTGGTTGGGATGCTCGGATCAATGTGGAAGGCGCGAAAATGCGCGCACCACTTGAACGATCACCCCTGGGCCAATCACGCAGGACCAGAAGATTTCTCGGCATCAACCCTTCTCGAACCCCAGCCCTTCCCTTGTCCTCTTCATCTACAACCCCATGCTCCCCGCGCCTTGCGCCGACGCCCCGTCGCCTCCTGCGCTATGAATTCGCGCAACCCCCTCCTCTCCCTCTCTTTGATCTCGGCTGCAATGCTGCGCGAGCTGTGCGCGAAGTCCGCGGCGCTGAACAGGCTCGACGAGCCCAAGTGACGGGCGGAGTGACGACGCGGGTCGGGCTTAGCGGTGGACTCGGGGTGTAACAGTCGAAGGGACAGAGCGGTGGTGGAGATCAGACGCCAGCAGCGTCAGGGCCTTGTGGCTATGGTTGTCGGTGGTCTTGATGGATTGGGGCTGTGCCTAGTTGGGCCAGCTGTGTGAAGACGTTTTTGTACAAGGAGGACTCGCTTTTATCTCCATTCCTGCTTTGTCCACGCATGGTGTGTGTGAGGCCCCGAGTGGCGGGACCTTGTCGTATGCATGGGTGGTGTGAAAGTCCATGGATGATTGGATGTCCTGTTGATTGTTGTTGATTGCATGCATGTTGATTTATGTGGGTGCATACTTATCCGGGTGGGGACTGGGGAAGCGACCTGTGATGACCATCTGCTTAGGGGTATGATTGGGTTGATCCCGTCGCTCCCATCCCTTCCACGGCCCTTGGGACTCGGACCTGCCCCGCTCCGCGCAAGCGCAGCCCCAGCGTCAGCTCTCTCTCTCTCGGCGTCCTTCTCGAGTTGGCAGGTATCGTTTTGAACTACTCGTCCCCCCCCCTCGTACCGGTGACGTCAACAGCACGAGCGATCGCCTGCTGTTGACGTCTCCGCCAGCGGAAGAGAACTTAGATCCCGCCATCTCTCCGAGATCCTAACTTAGAGAGAAAGAGGCGACGCGGAGCTGTTGTATGGAGACTGCGTTGGTTTGCACGACTGAGAGCATGGGGTCTGGCTCGTGTTCTTCCCCCACCTCCGATCGTCCTACCGCGCTACCGACCTTCCCCATCGGAGATGACGACGACGTCTACTGCGATGCGAACGTGTGGCGCGCCGTGAGACGAACGAAGCAGATATGTTGGCGTAACCCAACTCAGGCGTGCAATATAAGGGGAGACGGGTTTGTCCTGATTGATCGGTTTGCCTCCCCGACCCTGATATTGCCCTGCACTAACTTGACGGTGCTACCCTGGCTGGCAGCCCACACCACGTGGCAGCCGCGGTTCCATTGCCGCTGGTGTCGTCAGGGAGACTCTTGCTCCTGGCGACGGCTGGTCCTTGGGTACGAGGGAGCGGCGCATTTTCCCGAGCTCTCCCGTGGCGTGGGTGCGCGACCCGCGCAATTTCGAACTTGGGTGCCGGCGCGCCATCCGGCCGTATCGCCTCCTGCGCAGGAGGGCCCTTGCGGGCTCAACGAGTCCGACGCGGAGGCCTGAAGGCCTCGAACCAACCACCTATACGACCAACCCAGCGCAGCGCAACAAGGAACGGAGGTCTCCGCCCTCTGCTGCCCTGGCCTATTCCCCCCCCCCCTCCTTAGTGCTTCTTTCCGCTCGGATTCACTACGGCCATTTCGGT